GATTAGAGGGAGAAATATTACCTGAAGGCTTACTCTGCTATCTTTTCACATTTTGCCTGACTTCCGTGCTGTGTTGAATGTCCTTTAAACACAGTGTGCTTATGTGTGTGTTTGTGAGTGGTCCATCCCTTCTGTTGTTTGCCAAACTTCCTGTCTAGCAAAAATAAAAAGAACCTGCAGAAGACTGCCAGCCAGTCCACCATGTGACGAAGGAAAGTGTCTTCTCTTCTCTTGTGATTGTTCAGCTCGTTCCCACCCTCCTCCTCTGCACCCCTCTTCTCCCCCCCTGTGAGCGGCCAATATCGCTCCTCTCTGCATCTCCTCATCCAAATGAGGCTCAGTGTTTGATGTGCAGACTTCCTTTGAGCCCCTGTGGGAGATGAAGTTGAAGTTTGTTCCCCTTGTTAACAGAGACCCTTGCAGCCAGGATCCAACAGGCAGCCCGCTGCTTCCCTCCCTCCCTCTTGTAGGAGGGAGACGTCTGAGAAACGTTATCTGCTGACTTCAAATGAGCGCTGAAGAGGGGGCAGCTTTGTTAAGGAACACTGTGGCTCCTCCGTGCTATTCAGAATTGTTTTAATTCCTCCTTTGAGCAAAGCTCCTCAGTCGCTCTGGTTTTTATCATTAAAGCACTTCTTCTGTTTCGTTCGAAGGGAGGCCAGATTTGGATGCAACACAGTTGCTGCCTTTAAAGCGGGTGTAATGAAGGTTTAGGAATGACCTTGATGAGAATAGCATCTCTGAAAAAAAGGACAAAGGAAAAAAAAAGAGTTTCGTCGACTAGAATCAGGGAAAAAATTAAAAGCTATTAAAGTTGTGTCTTTGTGGAGCAGTCTACTTTTATCACAACTGGACCAGACTAAAGTGTAACCCATTACGCTGGAGAGGATTATAAAGAAATGTTCGCCCAGTATCAGTGTCCTTTGACTGCATGGTGGTCAGTGTTACATTACCTCATTAAGAACTTGTGCAAGCTAAAAATGTGAGAAACTGCAACCAAGATTTACAACCAAATTTAGATTAATGCTTCAACTAATGATGGGTTTATGTTTTTCATTGTTCATTACATTTTCTTTTTTAATTTTTGCAGGCTCTCTTTACTGCTTGGACTCAGGTCTAATTCACACAAAGGGTTTGGAATATCGAGATAAATCACTTTTTAATTTAATACAGGCAAAAATTGTACCATACAAATTGCAAGTAGGTCCCCCTCTCTATCTACCAGCTCTGAGCAGAAAGCCAGGTGGACCACGTCTCAAAGAGTGCAGTGACTTCAATGTCATGTTCATAAAACCAGTCTGAAATGATCTGAGCTTGTTGACATGGTCTGGTATCCTGCTGGAAGCAGCCATCAGAAGATTGGTACACTATGGTCATAAAGGGATGGACATTGTCAGCAACAATACTCAGTCTTTGGCATTTAAACAATGACCAGTTGGTACTAACACGGTAAAGTATGCAAGAAATATACCACACACTGTTACACCACCAACAACAACCTCAACTACTGATACAAGGCAGGATGGATTCATGCTTTCATGTTGTTAAGTTGTGTTTCTTAATGTTTACAGGCCTCTCAAATACTGCACAGACTTTTTTAATGACCTCAGTCAACTGCTGTCTGTGATCTGTGTTGATTTCGACTGTGTAATTATTGTTGGGGATTTTAACATCCATGTGGACAACCCTCAGGACAAAGGGACTAAAGACCTGAGTAACACTCTGGGCAACTTTGGGCTGACTCAGCATGTAACAGAGGCCACACATAACAGAGGACACACTCTTGACCTACTGATCTCCAAGGGCCTGAGCATTTCAAAGGTTACTGTGTCTGATGTGGGCCTGTCTGATCATTACTGTGTTTTCTTTGAAAGTAAAATCTCAGCCCACACAAATATATCAACAGCAGTGATCACAAAACTGTGTATAACTGAAGACAGTAGTGAGATCTTTAACCAGGTCTTCCCATTAACACCTGACCTGTCCAGAGGTTCAGTCAATGAGCTCGTCAATAGCTTCAATGCTAAAATGTTAAATGTAATGGATACAATTCCTCCCATTAAGGTGAAGGTTATCTCTGGAAGGAAAAAGTCTCCATGGAGAAACTCCACACTGGTGAAAAATGAAAAAAGAGAGTGTAGGAAAGCTGAGCGCAAATGGAGAAAAACAAACCTCCAGGTTCATTATGACATCTATAAAGAGAAACTTCACAATTATAATTTACAACTGAGAAGTGCAAGGATGTCCAACTTCTCTGACATCATCACTAAAAACAGCCATAATGCTCGGGTCTTATTTTCTACAGTTGACAGGCTAACAAACCCTCCTGTGCCAGTGGCAGCTGAACTTCATTCAACCATGGCCTGCAATGAGTTTGCCAAATTCTTCACAGAAAAATCCAAAAGATTAGACAAGCAGTTGGTACATCAACAGCAGATCCAGGATATGTACTGTGTCCACCGAAAAACTGTTTAAACACCATGAAACAGTTTCACCCGATTAACAGCAAAGACCTGGAGGACATCTTAGGTCAACTGAACTCCTCCTCTTGCTGTTTAGATGTCCTGCCAACAAGTTTTTTCAAAAAGGTATCAAAGACTTTAGAGTCAGACCTGTTACAGATCGTCAACTTTTCTTTAATATCAGGTGTGTTTCCAGAATCACTAAAAATTGCTGTAATAAAGCCTATACTGAAAAAGGACAATCTTGACAAGAAATAAATGAACAACTACAGGCCGATTTCAAATCTCCCATTTTTAAGTAAGATCATTGAAAAAGCAGTTTCTCAACAGCTCAGTTACTTCTTAAAACAGAATAACTGCTAGATGCCTTCCAGTCAGGTTTTAGACAGAACCACAGCACTGAAACCGCTCTGACCAAAGTGTTTAATGACATATGTCTGAATACAGACAGTGGAAAAATGTCAGTCTTAGTTTTACTGGATCTCAGTGCAGCATTTGATACAGTTGACCACAACATATTACTCAAACGACTGGAGAACTGGGCAGGTCTTTCAGGAACTGTACTAAACTGGTTCAAAACATACTTAGAAAACAGGAAATACTTTGTATCAATAGGTAACTTCACATCTGAGCAGACAAGTATCACATGTGGAGTTCCCCAAGGTTCCATCTTGGGACCCCCTCTGTTTAACATTTACATGCTCCCACTGGCACAGATTATAAAGAACAACAAAATAAACTATCACAGCTATGCAGATGACACACAAATATATATCACAATGTCACCAGGAGACCGAGGCCCTGTACAGGCTCTTGGTAAATGCATTGAGGAAATAATGACTGGTTGTGCCACAATTTTCTCCAGCTAAACAAAAACAAAACTGAGGTAATAGTCTTTGGCGCCAAAGAAAAACGATTACAGGTCACCAGAGAACTTCAATCTATACATCTAAAAACCACAAACCAGGCGAGAAATTTGGGTGTAGTGATGGATGCAGACCTAAACTTAGAAAAACACATTAAGACAATAACAAAGTCAGCTTACTATCACCTCAAGAATATTTCAAGGATAAAAGATCTGATGTCTCAACAGGACCTGGAAAAACTAGTCCATGCATTCATCTTTAGTAGGCTTGATTACTGTAACAGCATCTTTACAGGTCTACCTAAAAAATCAGTCAGACAACTACAGCTCATTCAGAACTCTGCTGCTCGAGTCCTCACTAAGACCAAAAAAGTGGACCACATCAGTCCAGCTCTGAGGTCTTTACACTGGCTGCCTGTCCGTCAGAGGATAGACTTTAAAGTTCTGATGCTGGTCTATAAAGCTCTGAATGGTTTAGGACCAAAATACATCAGTGACCTCCTGACCCAGTATGAACCTTCCAGATCCCTCAGGTCATCTGGATCCGGTCTTTTATCAGTTCCCAGAGTCAGAACCAGACACGGAGAAGCTGCATTCAGCTTTTATGCTCCTTATATCTGGAACAAACTCCCAGAAAGCCTCAGATCAGCTGAAACACTCAGTTTATTTAAATCCAGGTTGAAGACTCACCTGTTCTCAGCTGCATTTGAATAAAGCACCAAATCCGCACTTAAGCTTAAATTTCAAAACTTACATTTTAACTATTGATTTTATCCACTGTTCTGATTTTATCTCTTTTGATTTTATATACTGTTTTGTTTGTTTGTTTGTTTGTGTTTGTTTGTTAATTAGTTAGTTTGTTTGCTTGTTTTAATAAATTTTAAATCATGCTTTTTATTTGTTTTTGTTTCTAATGTCTCTGTAAAGCACTTTGAATCACCTTGTTGTTGAATTGTGCTATACAAATAAACTTGCCTTGCCTTGTTTATGCCAAATGCTCACCAGACCAAATGTAACAGCAGAAACTGAGACTCATCAGATGAGGCAACGTTTTCCAATCTTCTTTTGTTGAGTTATGATGAGCCAGTGTGAACATTAACAAGACATCTTTGTCAGGAGAGAACTGCTGCTTACTGGGTAATTTCATTATCAAAGCCTTCTTTGTAAACGCTAGAGATGGTTGCGCCAGTGGATCAGCATTTTTTGAGACACTCAGAAACACTCACAGCTGTCTGACAAAAACAGCTGTGTCAAGATTAAAGTCACTTAAATCACCTTTCTTTCCCATTCTGATGCTTTGTTTTAACTTCAGCAGATTATCTGTACCTTGTTTACATGCCTAAATGCACCGATCTGCTGCCATGTGATTGGCTGATTAGATATTTGTATTAACAAGCAGTTGAACAGGTGTACCTAATACAGTGACCAGTGAGTGTATATGCTAACGTATCATAATAACATTTGAAACTGGTTTAAAATGATTTTCACAAAGGCTGGCCTACAACTTTTCATTTAAGCCTTGGAGGTGCTGGTTTTGAAAAATGACCTTTTCATTATGCTAAACTTACCTGTGGCTTTGTGGGCTAAAGGGATAAACTACTGTATAAATAAAAATGTTTGCTTTTAAAGCTTTTTTGGACACCCACATATAAGATGGAAAGTCGGTAGAAAGAAAAAAGTGAGATCAGGAACGACAACGTCTCGCTGTCTTCTACCAGGACATGTTTATTTACAGCGGCCAATGATAGGAGTCACAAGTGTTCCACAGGTACGTACAGAGAGACATCAATAGTTCCCACCTCCTGCACAAAGCACACTCAGCGGGGACAGTCCAAGGGACACGGGGAGCATGGGGACAAAGAGGACACATACTGTACACTGAGCTCAAACACACCTGTTTTTTTAACCCCCCTTTTACAGAAAAAAGGGCCGATGGATGATGGAGGAGACAGAGAGGAAAGGAGGACGAGAGAGGGGATGGGAGGAAGGGACCGGAGGAGAAGAAGGACAGAGGTGGGGGGGTGGGGGGTTAGACTTATATTCAAATACAAAAGAACATGTACAAATCGTATAGCCCCCAGGCACTGTGCTCCCATATTTACAGTGATCGTAACAGGCAGCGGAACCACTCCATGGCAGGACCATCCTTTAGAGATATGCAGGTACAAGGGCTCGCTGTGAGAAAACAAAGCCAGCACTACGTAAGTCTGAGATAAAAACCAGTGGAGTCTGAGAGGCAGGGAACAGTGGCGGAGAGGGGGGCAGGTGGGGAGGACAGGAGGGGGGCTGGCAGACACATGGAAGGAGTGCTGCAGCCTAGGGAATTAATCACTGTCGAGAGCTACATAATCAGGTTTTAACTATCAGAGCACACCCCGGAACTCGGCGTGAGAGCTCTCGCCAACTCGCACTACGGTTTAAAAAAATGTTTTAAAAAGGAAACACTCCGTGCACTTAGAGCACTCTGACATTCACACTTGGCATGTGGTCATCATCACCTTCGCATCATCACCTTCGCTTGCCACATGGTGCACCATGGAGATGGAAAGTGTACTCGCACTTTATTATAAATAGGTAACAACATTAAAAAATAAATATAATAAATGCCAGAATAGCACTTAACTCTTTAATGTAGTGTAAGGTTTGGAATCTGGAGACTCTTATTGTGGAAAATTGAAAAAAAAAACAAAAAACTGTAAAAATGGGAACACATCCTCGCAAACATACAAACGGATTAACTTACAGTACGTGCAGATACATTCAGCGGACATACATGCAACCTGATTCATGTAGACGAGTGTAGTTACCCATGGATGTATGCACACATACATGCGCACACACACAGTCATGTAATGATTCATGTGATGCCATCAAACCACTCAACAGCCTCGACCTGACATCTAGTTGTACTAGGTAGTTGCACACGTCCGTTCCTGTCCAGTGTCGGTGATTAGAACCCACAATCCTATGACTACGTTTCCCAGAAACCACAGCATCACAATACAATTCAATCTTATGACACATTCTGTGGCACAAAGCAGCTAAGCTGTGATCAAAAGTTCATTTGTTGGTCTACACTGCTACAGCGACTTTGGGCCACAAGAGGGAGGGGGGGGGGGTTTAAAAAAAAAAAAAAAAAAAAAAAAAAGAGAAGGCACACTAATGCCGTAATTACTGCCTCCATTGAAATGCTGTGAAATAGCCTCAGGACATGGGTTTTTCTTAAGGGAAAGCAAATGACTAGGAAAAAACAATATTACACCATCACTGAACTTTGGACCAAAACACAAGAGAAGGAAAAAAAAAGAAGAAGAAAAGAAAAAAAAAAACAGCCAACAGCTTTTCATCCAAGGAGTGTTCACAAAAAAAAGAAAAGAAAAAGCCAAGCCTTTTGCATTTGGAAAAAAGGACACATCCTTTAGGGTATATTTACATAAAAGCTTTGTAAAATACTCTTTTTTTTTCATCTATGTACAACACGTGACAACATCAGAGAGAATAGTGACCAGACCAAAGAAAGAAAAACGGCATCAGAGGCCAATCTGAGGCAAGAATAATCAAAGAAACCAAAGTTTATCATTTAAAACAGACATGACGTAAATGTTGATTTATTTCTCTCGAGCATACCTTTTCTCTTTTGTTCCCATGCCTTGAGTGGTACCTTGCTGCTACTTCTGCTTTTACAGATAGCAAAGATTACTGGTCAGGGCACTCACGGGGACGCCTTTCAACACATTAACATAATTTTTTCATTACTCGTTGTATACCAAAGTGTAAATTGACTTGCAGTGCGGCTAACCTCTGGCAACAATATACGACACATTACGGTGTATGCAGCTGATGAATAAAACATTCTTATGCGCACATTGTTAGAGAGTGAGACGCCTGAAGAGCGGCAACAATATTCGGCGTCAATTTAAAAGGCTTTGCTAACAGTGACATCAATGCACATGTGTGGTTTTTGTACTGTATACTTCATAGACTGCAACACACTCTTCCTTCTTGTGATTTTTGGATACTGTTGAGTACTTATAAAGAGTCGCAAAAGCCCTTCTGAAATCAAACCAAACCAAATATTAGGCCTAAAGTCTTCTGGAAAAAATTAATATTGTTTCAGGTAGAAATGCAACCAAGAACTAATGCATCACATAAGAGTTTTCTTTAGACAATAAAGCGTCAGAGCTTTTAAGGACTTCTTTACTGTGTGCTAGCGAAGCCTGCTAGCTTAAAGTACAATGACTGAGAATTTGTCTTTGTAAGCTAGGCACCTAGCTTGGCTATCACAGGCATAAAAAGGATGTTATAGAGTAACACTCAGGCATGGAAACAGGCTTAAATCACTGTGACATCCTGCAGTGAAGGTCAGCCCATGCATTGCTCTTACAAAGACAAAAAAAAAGCATTAGCATTGAGATATTTGGGGCACACCAGCGTACCAGCTTATGCCTCTGCTGGTGATTGTCTTTTTTGAGAGACATCAAAGAGGAGAGTGCTAGAAACACCTTTCAACTGCATGAAAATCCCATGTGGGGTGTAAAACAGACAAATAAACAAACAAACAAAAAAACCCCCCAGAATCTGAGAAATAATACTTAAGGCAGAAAATAATATACAATCATTGATCAACAAGAGCTTTCCACTGATGCCATGTTTGTAAGAACATGATACATTAATCACTCAGGGTGTCTAAAAGGTTGACACTTTCTTCCTTTCTATTTTCTCTCTATTATTTTTTGTATTTACACATGCCTTTCTCTGGGGCATTGCTATAAACAGATATGGTATTTTACTCCACTATTTTCCAGTGTTGTAGTTTCTCTGGGTTTTGGTCTTGTGATCCGAATGTTCTTTTGGTGGCGGGAGGACCGACCCTTTTACGCTTTGCTGTCGTCGGGCTTTGTGTGGATGCTGTTGTCACTGTGCACTTTGATTTCAATCGTATCTGGCTTGAGAACCTCTCTTCCATTTTCTTCCTTCAGTGGTAGCTTCCTGCAGAGACAGAGAAATGCACAACGTGGAAGTGAAATACGCAGTTTGTGCACTTCAAAGCTTGGTCATTACAAGAACTTAAAGCATACATACCATTATTGTGAACAGGCGCACAATAAATTGTACATAAAGCAGAGCTGAATTACTGCTGTAAGAGAGTTTAGGCTTAATGGTGTTCTTCAAAAAATGTGTGCCTAACAGCATTGAACTCCACCTTATAGACCTTGGGGACCTTGTGAATGAATTGCCTCCTTTGGGATTAATAAAGCTAAATTTAATTGAAGAGAAAAGGCAGCAGGAATATTAAATATAACAGCCTCCACGGGGCTTCACAAGGGGTTAGAGAAAGCCAAATTATTCCTATTTTGCCTGTGTTTGGTCTGGATGGTTGGAGAGCTGATCAATTTGTCAGCTTGTGTTTGTTTTCAGTGCTCTAGATGTCTGATGAGGATGGAGATGAGACATGAATAATTATAAGCAACATGACTTAGCAGGCTTTTTACAGGACTTTCTCCATCTGTTCACCAAGGACGAATGGCATCCACTTCCGTTTTTAAAGAAATCAGTGCACACATATGGTACATAGACGCTAAAGTATTTGTTGGTTTCAGCAATCTGTGATAGTTCATCTATTCCCAACTAAGCCATACTATGTATGTTCAGGAATAGCAATGTAGATCGATCGATTTGCTTTGGTCCTGAAAGAATACTTTAAAAGAATGGCACTGATTGAAATTAATTTTATTCAGCATAATCATTCTGTTATCCTTATTTAGAACCCAAATTTTCTTTTACGTTATTATTAAAAATCCTTATTATCTTACGCTGTTTCTAACAAGTCAATTTCTTTAGGTTTCCCCTCCCTAGTGGCGTACTTTTTCTGACTGACATTCCCCCCCAAAAAACACCACATGTAAGCCTCAACCCCATATTGCACATACAGCAGGAAATGTGGCTTTGGCTAGGCCTAAGATGAACCCTATAACACCAGAGTTACACAGGTCTACAGCCCGATCAGTGACCATCTGACAAATAGTCCCAAGTAAATAATATGTATTACCCAAACGGTTGCAAGTAACCGCAGGAGGTTGCTGGCTGATGCGCCTTGGACAAAACTGGTTGCAAAGAGTTTGCTGCACCAAAAACTTCAGTGCAATTTCTTTGGCCCCAAGTAGATTGCCACTGTCATTCGCACTTTGCATTTTAATCTCAAAGCTGTTATCAAACTTGAAAAGGTGTGACACAAACTGGAAGTGGGGAACGTTCTCCAGTAAAGCAGAAAATGTGCCGTATTGCCACATCCAACATATTTCAGAAGGGGCAACTTTTACTTTGAAAGCAAAAGCTCTCTGGTTTCACTTTCACATTCTTGCTACCACTTGCTAGTGTTTGCAACCAAGTTGTCATCTTCCTTGCAACCTGTTGGTGAACAAAATCATTGCTCATGACTTGGTAAATCCAGAAACCATTTGCCAAACGGAATACATACTCTTCTATAGCAACCTGGTGGATGCCAGCTTCTCAGTGACTAGTCTTTAGGCCGGCGTAAATGGATATGTGGCAATCACATTCACATATGTCAGCAACCACTTGCAACTAATGATGGAATACAACTTGTCATCTCCCTGCGTCTGAAACATTTGCTTTAAAGATAGGGTCAAAGTCTGAGACCACTTAGTCTGCCATCTTTACATCGACACTGGTGCATTAAGACAGGGATAAACCAACAATAAGATTGAGTCAGTCAGTTTTCCACTCCACAAAGGTGTTATATTCGCTTATGCAAGACTGAAGGAGACAAAGTTCATAATTTTTTTTTTATAAATTTATAAACAAAGATACAGCAAGTTCATTTCATTAATAACCACCATTCTACCAAGACCAGTGCAAATCTGCAGCTTAAAAATGAGTCGCCAGAGCTTGAAGGTGCTGCACACTCAACCTTAAAGTTGGTTGTCATAACTACTTGCAACCGGTCCCAGACTCCGTGCTATGCAAGTTGGGGAAACTGGCATTCAGCTGAGACTGAAGAAGTCACTTGGATGAGCGAGGAAACATTTCTCCCACTGAAAACCCTACGTCCAGATGAACAGAATCAACTTTTTTGGACTGCAATAACTTCAGAGCTCGCACATCTTCAATATGGCGCAAGTCTGACTCATTTTGAGACGGATAGAAAAGGAAATAGGCACGGGCTATTTGACTTACTCACAGCCCTGTTTCAGGCACGCTTGTTCATCTAATCTTCCACGAGTTTTGTTTTGAGTAATGCAGCAGAAGGACATCACAGCTTTATCTTTATGCTAATATGCATCAGTATGATGAAAATCCAACCAGCTTGTGCTTCAAGCAATATGATATATGAGAGCTTTCATCTGCATTTGGCTGATCTGGCTTTATCCAAGTGCGGTTAATACAGGCAGTGGGTCAGAATAAAGTAATGCTGCAACATAATGAGACCTAAAAAGTAGCATTTTCTAATATCTTTTGTTGTAATGACCCACATTTCTATTCTAATTTGACTTGCACAAATTCAAACATGCAAAATGACCCATAACTAGGGAGTAGCTATTAGAAAAAAGCTATATTATTCCCCCTTCTGCGCCATTACAGGTGGCTTCTTGCCATTATGTGCACTCTGTCAATCGAATTAGTAACCTTTGATGTGTTCATATGCCAGGAGGACAGACATTTCAAAGAAATATCTATCAGCAGTGTCAAATCTCCTCATCTTAGCCTCTAAAACACTAAAGCCTAACCAAAAAACACTTATTGACAAACCAACAGGGACACATTCACCGAAAAAATACGAACCACGGGGGGGCTACCCATGTAAAATCAAACAGGCGTCTGTCTTTTGTCATTTCATTTTGGGGAATAAAAACCCTGCTCTGAAATTTCAGCAAGGGATGTCTAAATGCAATTTTACTCTCAGCGGTAGCTTGCGCCTACACCAAACAACCAAAATAAAGATAAAAAGAGAGAGAACAAAATAAAGTAAATAAACAAAAATAAAAGAAAGAATGAGAAAACAGATGACAATTACAGAAAATGCAAAGCGAACGTGGCAATGAGTTGCATCTCTTCCTGCTACACAGCCCTTTCTTTTACCCTGCGCCTCTTGGAAGTAAGACAAGTTTAATAAGGAGATCAATAAGGAACTTTGGCTTTTACATTGATTCACATTGTCAGAGTCCTCTTGCTCCTAATATGCGCTTCATTCAATGCGTATTTCTCCAGTTCTATCAAGACATTGAGGGAAAAAAGAAGGG